TATTTCCAATGATGAGAGCAGGCTTAATATCAAAAGTAATAGAGTGAAGGTTTGTCTGAGAACATGCATGATCCAGAAAAGGATACAGCTTGATACTCACAGCTTACATAGAAGTGGTAGTGCTGGCATTAAAAATATTTTTTTTATTTGTGAAGCGAGCTAATTTGGTTAGGAATGCATTGCGGTTAAAAAAAGGCACAGTTACACTCCTTTAAAGCTAGAACTACATTTCAAAATAGAGTATGATTTCATCTCCAGCCTGGTGTCATCCGCAAATTGTAATAACATATTCTCCATTCTATTATCCAAGTCACTAATGAAAATATTGACTAATAATGGATCCAGGGCACACTATTGTGGAATACCACTAAATAAGTCTCCTGCTTGACAGCAAACTAAGCCTTGGAGTTCAGTCTCTCTCTAATTACACACTCACCTTATAGTAATTTAATCTAGACCACATTTCCCTAGTTTTCTGATGGGAATTTTGTGAGAGACTATATCAAAAGCCTTACTAAACATCAAGATTGGGTACATATACTGGTTATCTCCTAACTGTTAGTCCACTGAGTCATGGAAGACAGGAGAGATTCCAGAAGACTGGAAAAGGGCAAATATAGTGCCCATCTATATAAGGAAAATAAGGAGAACCCAGAAAAATACAGACCAATCAACTTAACTTCTGTGCCAGGAAAATTAATAGGGAAAACAAGGGGACGGTGCCACCTGCTCACTACACTCACCAACCCCCCACCACCCTGGGAGTAGGCAACCCTGGCTCTCCTCTGGTCCACCGGGCCTGCAGCCCTGGCTCTCCTTTTTCTGGCCACTGGTGGAGGGGGCAGACGTAGGCTGGTCCGGCTCCCTTCCTACAGCCACCAGGAGTTTGGACCGGACGGAGGCAGCCACTGGGGGGTTGGGCCAAGCCAAAGTCACAGCTGGCCCGGCTCTCTCCCTCTGGCAGAGAGGGGAAAGGGAACATGCAATGCGCTGCCTGTCCTTCTCCCTCCAGCCATGAGGGGGAGAACGCAGCTCCCGTGCGCTGCCCTCCCTCTGTACTACAGGGGACACCATGGGTGGCCTGTGCCCCTCCCTCCCCAGCCCCGATGAGGCTCTGCAGCTTCAGCATGCCCCCCGCTTCCCTCACCTGAGCCCATCCTGGACAGCGGAGAAGACATGTGGCTCAATTTAAACTCTGGTAGCTTCCCACCCACGTGGCGGCTGCTGGAGGGACATCCAGCTCTGGGCCACGGTCTGGCAATGCGGGGGGGGGAGGTGATGAGGCCTGGGGGGGGCAGGGCCAGACTGGGGCTCCTCCTGTGGGAGGCACCCCAGCTTGAGGAAGGACTGGATGTCCCTCTAGCATCTGCCATGTGGGCGCCCTGGCTCAGTGGCCGGGGTGCCCCCCAGCCCTGATTCGGGGTGGGGTGACCCCCAGGCTAGCCCTTCCCCCTGCATCGGGCCTCTGCAGCAGGGCACCCTGACTCCCTCCCTGGTCCTT